TTCGGGGCATCAACCATTGTGACCGGTTAAGTTCGTGCCTGAAAGTCCGGCTTCAACAAGAAGAGCCTGCCACCCATCAATGCTGCATGAGTTCCGGTTGTAAGACATCTCACCGATCTCTAAAGAACATTACCGCAAGGCTGGACAAGGGGGGTTGTGGCTGGGAGGGCCTGGGCATTGGCGGCCTCTAAAGAGGTAGGGCTACATATATATTGCAGTATACTGTCTGTAACTAGTTAGATAGCTCTTCACTCTTTTTAAGGTTACAACCAGATACCGCTTCTTCCCATAATCTATCCCTTATCTAGAAGCACATCCATAAGACATTGACTTTTCAATCCTTGTGTTAGCAAAAAGTTTTATAAAAGTTTGCCAGAATTTCATAAAAACATGGCTCATTTTGACCTTGATAAAATAAGCCAACTTTGTATTCTTTCCTTTTACCTATGACAATCTAAATCTTTAATTCATTCAAATATTATCTTAGGATTTGATCTCTCTTCAATTCTTCTTTGTCCCATTGCGCAGGCTTCTTTGGGCTTAACACATCAATACAGTAAAAAGATATCATCCAGGTCATTCTCTTGGTTTATCATTTGCACTTCCCCTTAATTTTTAAAACTTCAGCCAGCTTCTCCAAGCGTTTCTCTTGGCTTGTCACTTGTATATCTAATTTAAATAACTTCTGTCTTGCAATCCATACTTTTTAAAATCCAATATTTCTGATTCTACTATTTCTGCATCAAGCACAATTTGTTTCACATCTGTCATCCTTCATCCTTTAAACATAGTCTATTCATAAAAGTAGGCACTGCACTGGCTAATAGTTTCTGGCCTCATTTTTTAAAGATATCTTTTAAATACTTCAAATGTTATAGTGTTTTGTGTCATTTTGTAAATCCCAATTCCAATCAAAGCCAAAGGCACTTTTTTTCTCTTTTTGACTGGAATCCTTAGTCCTTCTAGTATCCAATTTAAATACTATGGTCTCAAATTTTTGTTAAGCACTTACAATATCCAAAATAATTCTGATTCCCACAAAAGCTGCTTATTTACTAGAGATTTTTAAGAAAAGATTGAACAGGTCCCATGCTTCTCCAGGGAGTTGGACGAAGACCTCCAAGGATCCTTCCAACTCTGTTTGTTATCCTATAGTAAAATTTTGAAAATTCCAGATTTGTCTGGACCTTTCAATCATATATAACTCTTTTGCTTCAAATTCTTATTTAACTTTTTCTGGACTTGGGGGGAAGAAATGACAAACTGAAGACAACTCCACGGAAAGCAGATTGATGATTATAGCAGAATGAAGAATTGGCAAATAGACCGGCTTGTTGTAATTCCTCTCTGGACAAACGAGAAGACTTGAGATTGCCCACAAGTGTGCCACTCAACACTGCTCCTCACAAGAGTGCAAGAGAGCTGTCTCTGGCAGGTTTAGAGCTCTGAGAGACAAGGGAATAGCCATTTTTTTTTCAACCAGGGTTGGTAGATTCAAAAAGACACTGGGTTTACATATATGTAGTCCTCAATGTGTGACCCCAAAATTTCTGTCGCTAACCAAAATAATTGTTAAGTGAGTTTTGCCCCATTTACATCAGTTGTTAAGTGAATCACTGCAGTTAAGTTAGTAACATGGGTTGTTAAGTGAATCTAGCTTTCCCATTAACTTTGCTTGTCAGAAGGTTATAAAAGGTGATCACACATGATCCAGGACACCACAATCGCCTTAAATATCAGACAGTTGTCAAGAATCTGAATTTTGATCATATGACCATGGAGGTACTGCAATGGTTATAACTGTGAAAAATAATCATAAGTCACTTTTTTAACTTTGGTAGTCTAAACAATATTATGTCCTGTGGGAACCAAGGTTATTCTCTCGCTTGGAAGAGGGGGCGTTGGGCGTTTGGTCTGAAAGCCCGCCAAACTGCTCTATTGGGTAGCGTAGTTTGTTACACAGCACTGGGGTAGGAACTTTTACTTTGTAATGGTGAAATTATTTGGAGGGAATTTCAGACTTGGTTTCACTTTTGACCATGCTGATATTTTGTATCCAATAAACATGTTCTTTGAGGAAGCTTCAAGCCTCAGAGGTCTGAGTACCAAGGACCTATAGTTCAACCTTCAAGATTTATTTCTATTGATACTTCCTTTTCCAACCACTTTTGGAAATTGCTTATTAACAGCAGATAATAATTTTCAATTATTATGAACTTTGGATCAACAGGTTTTAGAGCACTGGGTGGGTTTTCTTCAATTCTTGGTGAAAGACGTTTTAAGTACAAGTTTAAAGACTTTTTAAAAATGTAATAAACAGCAAAAGAATGACCAGAACTTTGATTTTGGAAAGTTACAAACAGACCAAGGGTCCACTGAAATAAGATTTTAAAATTAATTATAAGAATCCTTCTTGTAGGAACATGCTTTTGTTTTCAATTCTCTAAAAAAAATGGCAGGATGGAACTTTGAAAGTTGGACATCCTGGGAAACCAGAAAGAACTAAAGATTAGTATTAACTAATCAAGTGTTGGTATTTAATCGAAAAGAAAATCAACTCTGTTCATGGATTAGGTTTAAATTTAAATTATTTACACGTCTCTGTTTGACAACTTACCTCACTGCTGAGGGCTGTGAATTTACAGAGAGAAATGATGAGGTTGTCAAAAACATCACTGAGGCCGTAATGAGCAGAGATCATGGCACATTTTCTGAAAGGCAAATCATAATGCTGTAAGAGAAATCACACAGATGCTTCCAGAATGATTCGCTAGATTTTTCACATTATATTTCTGCAATGTAAACAACAACAATAATAATAATGTTGGAAGGGACCTTGGAGTTGACGTCCACGAGTCATAAAAGAGCCAAGGTTGCCTACCCCTGTCCTAGGGCTACACGGTTCAACTATAGAAATGAAAGATAATGGTGAACACCTCACCTTATTCTGTGGTATGAACAATCTATGTATTGGGAACACCTATTTTGAACATAAGCGCATTCTCAAGGCAACATGGCACTCTCCTGACAGTTTCACAAATAATAAAGTCAACTATGTATGTGTTTGTAGGCAGCGGTACTCGGCATTGCTTGATGCATGCACCTACCAGGATCAGATACGAACTCAGACCATTACCTGGTCATGGCGTCACTCCTACTTGGGTTAAAGAAAAACACAACAATGCTAAACAATATACCCTTTTGCAGTCAAGAAATTGAAGGATGCTGCAGTTGTGCAGTTCCAATTTACATCGACCAACAGTTTTCAATAACTACTGCAAGACAGCATAGACATCAAAAACCAGTGGACACATTTTAAACAGGCCATTGTTAAAAACTGTATGTCTTTATGGAAAATATCGGCATGCTTTTCTTAACATCTAAGGTCAAAATAAGGAAATGGTACATAAAATAATTTTATAGACTGTGAAGGAGAGTTACCTGAAACCAGAAATAGTCTTCTGGATTACTGCTTCATCTAAGCTTTTGTCAAAAACGTAGGAAAGAGCTGCAACAGTAGGTCCCCAGGTCATGGCAAAGAGGTCGTGATCGTAGCTGCCAGGTGGAATATGCAGAAAGACTCCTTCTTCAGTGGCTCCACGGTGCAACAACACACTCCATACATAGTTTTCTTTTACTAAGCCTGTCTGCTCATCGGGCATCACAACCTCTTCATTTCTATCAGAGATGAATACAGAAACATTAAATGACCAATTGTTAAGATGCACTGTAGCAAACGTGCTAGGATTTTTTAAATTTTTATTTTTATACTCCTTTTTTCATATATAACTTCAAGTGGCAAATATATCTATATTCTGATTTCTTCCTATTTTCCCCACAAAACAACCCTGTGAGGTTAAGTTGGGTTGAGAAGCTGTGAATAGCCCAAAGTCACCCAGATAGTTTTTGATGCCTAAGGCAGGACTAGAACTCACTGTCTACTGGCTGCTAGCTAGTGTCATGGTTCCGATTAGGGGAAT